CCACTGGACACGCTGCTGATAAGATTGGTGGATTTGCGCCTACGGCAGCGAGAATGTACAAGCTGGTATATACTACAAAGAAGCCCTTAATTTGAAGGAAATCCTTTAGAGAGAAAAACAAGAAAAATTCAGAAATATGACTGTCAATTGGAAAAGATTGCTGCTGCTCACGCGAGCAGATGCCAGTTTAGACACTCAGATCGTAGCTCAAGGCAAAATGCTGGTGAGAACATTTTCATGGCAAGCCCACCTGGTGACAAGGTCCTGATGGCTAGAAGAGTAAGTTTTGCTGATTATTGGGGAACGATAGGTTGCGAGATGCGTAGACTAACGACATTTGTTCTGTTTAGGCCGCTTACGCATGGGCTGGAGAGCTGAACCAATATGGTGTTGGTAAAGAAAACATCTTTACAATGTCTGTAGCAAATCGGCGTGTCGGACATTACACACAGGTGAGCAAAAACTCTAATGGCTTAACTTTGATCCTGCAACAGGAATTTGGTTTGCCGGATCAAATTTAAACTCAAATGCAAATTTTGAATCAGGCTGTAAAAGCTATATTCAAACTTTGCCATGTATATGGTGTAGTTGCGTACTATGCACAAACTCCCGAAGCTGCGTAACATCTTTGTTTTCAATCAAATACTTGGCATACAATGTCTATTCAGTTTGCGTCTCATGGTTTAGCTAAATGGGCTATACCATAAGAACTAATTTATCAGATTTTTGCGAGAGTTCTTTTCAAGCTGATCTGAATGAACATCCAGAATGTTCAATAGCGAGTACATCATAACTCTGTTGCTCTAATTTTTGTTCCTCTAATTTACTACCATCTAGGATTAGGAGAGCTTTTGCTTATTATTCGGGTTCAAGTTTTGATCTCGAGATGCCTCGAATCACCGTATTGTTATGAGGTTTTTTAGAAAAAAAAAAGATAGAAGATTGAAGATTCTTCTCTTTGTAATGACTTTTCTTTGTCCTCGCTGAGCAGTTGCGTTAAATAGGGAGAACATGCATAGAAAGAATGGTAGATGAGCAGATACACGATTAAGTGAAATGCCTTTCTAGATGGTCTGGCAGACAACGAAATCGCTTGGTTGCGCTGTTCAGAACTGCCCATCTATGTCCCTCGTCGTTTGCAACTATAAGGATGCGTAAGTTTTGTAATGCTTTGCAAAATGCTGCAAAGTTCTATTCTAAAAGACAGTATTCCAGCGGAAACATGATTGGCCAGCCCATCTATGAAAAGGGTGCACCTTGCTCCAAGTGTGCGGCAGGAGAATCATGCGATATATACGAAGGCCTTTGCGTTAACTAGTCACAGTTTTCCTTGGCAAATAAACCTGCTATAGTACTGTACGACTGATAACACATGAAATGAAACCTTGAAACCTTTCTCCGAATTCCTGCTATAACGCAGTTCCTCTATCCAATCAATTCTTCAACATTTATACCCATTATTTCACCTCTCTAGAAGCTAGTGCTTTGAAATCAGTTGGTCATAGATATGATTTGTATTGGTCACCTCATTACATCGGCTGATATCAAAATTTGGCATCAAATACCTAACGGTTGACGTAGGTTGATCTATTAGCTGCGATTATAGGTGCT